CGTTTGTGTCTCGTCTGGTGGTGCCTGCCAGACCTCCATTCCCGTTTATCTCTTCCAGCATTAAAGTCCCAAGACTCCTGGCTGCGTTCCTCATCTGGCTCTTCTCTGGCCTCCTCGGACAGCTCCTCATCACGTTTGTGTCTCCTCTGGTGGTGCCGGCCAGGTTTCCAGTCCCTCTTGTCCAGATCCCATGATTCCTGGCTGCGATCTTCATTTCCCTCGGAAGGTTCATCACTGCGTCTGTGAATCTTTCTCTTGTGATGGTAGCGGTGTGTTGGTTTCCATATGCGCTTGTATCTCTCCTCCTCATCCTCGTCCCTTTTGTCAACATCCCAGTATTCTTGACTACGTTCTTCCTCCGGTTCTCCCTCCGGTTCTCCCTCGTCTCTTTTATTTTTTCTTTGGTAGTATCTTCCAGGCCTCCAGTTCCTTTTCTCTCTTTGCTCACCTCCCTCCTCTTCCTCTCTATCATCTTCCCCTCTCTTTTCCATCAGTCCCCAGCTCTCCTGACTGCGCTCATAATCCTCCTCTTCCTGGCCTCGTTTGTGTTTCGTCTGGTGGAATCTTCCAGGCCTCCAGCTGCTTCTTTTCTCCCGCTCCTGCTCCTCATTGTCCTGTTTCTTGTCCCTCTCATCGCCCAGACTCCAGGATTCCTGACTACGCTCGCCCTGAGGGATTTCTCTCTTTTCTTCCACAGATTTTAGGAGTGCTTCAATGTCTTTCACGTCCGCTGCCTTTGGCAAAGGCTCCTCGGTGTGACCTGTGACTCCTTCTGGCTTTGTTGAAGTTCCTTCCTCACTCTTCTTGTCCAGAGGGACATGTTTGATCCCTAAAATGAAACAACACAAGATAACAAAAAAAGAAGCCTAAAAATCTTAAAAGAACACCTTTGGACCAATTAATGACTTCTTCCTGATATAGTCATTCACTTTTCAGATTTTTACATTTCTACACACCATAACATTTAGACTATTTGTTTTGTGTCTAGCTATTTAAATATTCTAACTTAACCATATCTGAGAGACACACGATGAGGGACTGATTGAAAAGTACTGCATCATATTTAAGTCTTCCTTCATGTTGAATGATTTCAGGTTACAGCACAAATAGATGAATAATCAAAAAATTAAGGAGATGGTATGTGTTACAAACCTGCTTGTAGAATGTCTTTACATTCCTGATCCAATTGGGAGTCCGGTTTGGAGAGAGCTTTGGACAGGACTTCAACCAAGCATCTTGTTACCTGCAAAATTCAAATCAGTCAGGCGAGATTTCTCTGACAATATTATGCACTGATTTAATCACATATAAAAAATAATCCAAATTTCAGTGCGTATCAAGGGGAAGAAACATACCACATCTTCTCTCTGCCCCTCTTTTCCCACTGGAAGCGCTGGAGTGTCTGCATAAATAAGAAACATTTTTTAACAGCTGTGAGTAAGATGCGAAATTGCGGGCTGGAACAGTTTGCACAAACACCAGCAGGAGATCGGTCTCTGTCCATGGTTCTGAACTGATCACAAACTACCTGCAAGGAAACGCAAACGGATCTTTCGCCTACCTTTGATTAGAGCCAAAACAAGAAAAAATATGAGTCTCATCTTGACGAAATGAGGGGATATCCAGGGAAAGGTGGCAAAGCTGCTCCCGTCCCTCCGTCGGAGAGATGCGCGCTGACCGGGCGCCTGCTGCTTTGACTGCTGGAGCAGAGGAGCTCCTCAAATAAGGAGAGGAGTGGGCTGGAGATGCGTGGGAGGAAGGCTTTAGGCTCTGTTCATGTCATGATTCATTAGACCCGAAACAAAGTGACTTGAGCGAAATTTGATGCACGAACAAGATCAATATTGTGCCGGGAGTGAATTTGTTATCTGGTCGGTGTCACGATGCATTCAGGTGAGTTTAAACAGGTTTAACTGAGTTTGGAGTTTGAGTTTGAGTGGCGTGCTTATCATTGGAGGAGCGGGTGCTGCACTAAAACATCACGAATATTCTTATGCAATCTGATACTTATGCACTGCAACGTAAGGATATACTTTATTCAGAGTC